ACCTAGGGAAGATGAGAGAGCAGCATAGCCAACACTGTATGCATTTCTGACCACCTTCACTTTGGAGAGTCCAGCAGCCTCTTGGACAAGTTACTTCCCTTCTGTGAGACTCAAGTTTTCTCAACTTTAAAATTAGGGGATTGGATTAGATGGTCTCTTCTAGGAATTCCCACCCTAGGGCCCAGCTGGCCAGAGAAGTGAGTCAGTGAGAGCAAACTCCAAATATATCTGTGGGTAACAGACATCCTACCTTGCTTGCTGCTATCCACCTGGCCATCTTACCATGTGCTCTGTTGCCAAGTACCTCGCCCCTCTCCTCTTTCTCTGAGAACTCTAATTAGTAATGCCATTGCTTCCAGAAAGGGTGTGCAAATTGACTTCCTTATGGCTCTGCTCCCCATCCTTGTGACTTCCTAGACCAAAACACCGTTCCCTGTTCACCACTGCTCACTATGTTTTTGATCTGTCTGTTCAACTGTAAGCTCTTTGAGGGCAGGGACCATCAATTTTATATGTGTTCCCAACCCTTAGCACAGTGCTTAATAAATTCTTCTCACTTCTTTATTCATTTTCATTCCATTTATCTATGATCCTATGCTCAAAGGTCCTTCCCAGCTCCAACATTATCTCTTCTAAGGGCCCTACCAGCTCTCACATCCTGTGTTCTAAGGGCCCTCCCAGCCCTGACATTCTGTGTTCTATGGTCCCTCCAAGCTCTGACATTCTGTGTTCTAAGGGCCCTCCCAGCTCTCATATTCTGTGTTCTAAGGGCCCTCCCAGCTCTGACATCCTGTGTTCTAAGGGCCCTCCCACGTCTGACATTCTGTGTTCTAAGCTCCCTCCCACCTCTGACATTCTGTGTTCTCAGGGCCCTCCCACCTCTGACATTCTGTGTTCTAAGCTCCCTCCCACCTCTGACATCCTGTGTTCTGAGGGCCCTCCCAGCTCTGACATTCTCTGTTCTAAGGCCCCTCCCAGCACTGACATTCAGTGTTCTAAGGGCCCTGCCAGCTCTGACATTCTGCATTCTAAGATCCCTTTCACATCTGAGCTTTATGAATGTCTGTCTAGTCCTGACGTTCCATGAGTCACTTACTGAATATGACGTAAAGGAAATTGTTTTTCCAGCATGGGTGGGATTAGACAACCTCCAAGTTCCCTTCCAACTCTGACACTCTGTGATTCTGTGATCTGGGTTCCAATTCCAACTCTGCGATTAATTTACTGTGTGGACTTGGGAAACTAACTTTGCCTCTCTGAGCCTCACTTTACTCTCTTGTAAAAATGAAGGGGTCAGGCTCAGTTGCCCTTTGATGGTCCTTCCCCGCTCTGACTCCTAGGATGCTTCCAACCCTGGGTTATGAGAGGAGAGCTTGGGCACAGGGAGGCTCTTGCAGTCAGGCAGTGTTATCCACGCTGCGATCATGGGATGAGGTTCAGGTCTCCCTCATGCCTACTTGGCATGAGCAGGACATGAAAGGCCCATAGCCCCTTCAACTTGTCCCTGGTCTTTCTCCCTGGCAAGGGCCCAAGTGTAGCCCAGAAGGTACTCCACTCCCAGGATCCACGCAGCCCTGGTTTTAAACAACAGAGAGGGAAGGAGAATGAATACCTGGAGAGAGGGTGAGCCAGCCGGAAAGCCTGGTGAAAAAAGTCAGACAGAGAGCTGGGATTACTTCCCAGTTTGCTTCCTGGGTTTTCATTCCAGGAAGTTTGCCACTGATGACGCTGCTGGTGATGAAGGAGAGATGTTTGCAGCCATGCCCCTGGTGGGGCCAAGTCAGCTCCAGTGAATGGAGAAGGAAATGGTACTGCGATAGGTAACACCTTACCAGAGCAAGGACTCCTGCCACCTGAGGGACAGAAGGGACCTTCTTCCCTTGATCCTGTCTCACTTTTATACAGAGCCAGCCATACCCTTTGGGAAAACCAGAGTCTAGGGGATTTTATAATTCCTTGCTGATTGGGCACTTATGGAGTCTGTAATCCAAGGGTTATAAGACCATCAAATGACAGGATCGCAGACTTTACACTGAAATGGACCTTAGAGGTGATTGAACTTAACATCCTCATTTCACAGATGAGAAAACTGAGTCCCAGAGAACTTAAGTGACTACGGTCACATAGATAGTAAATTGTCAGAAGCTTGATTCAAATTCAGGTCTTCCTGACTATGTTCAACTCTCTTTCCTCCTTAGAGATCATCTAGACCTGATGAGGGGCAGCTAGGTGGTATGGGTGGTTAGAGCACTGGACTTGGAATCAGGAAGACTTATCTTCCTGAGTTCAAATCTGGCCTTAGACACTCACTAACTGTGTGACCCTGGGCAAGTCACTTAACCCAGTTTGTCTCAGTTTCCTCATTTGTAAAATAATTGGAGAAGGAAATGGCAAACCACTCCAGTATCTTTACCAAAAAACAAAACAAACAAACAAACAAACAAAACAAAACAGACAGGGTCAAAAGACATGACCAAACAGCAGCAACAAAGACCTGATGAACTAAGGGACCCTTTGGCAGCATCTGGTGAGGCCATGGACCCTCTTCAGAATGTTTCTACATGCATAAAATAAAATACACAGGATTACAAAATACAATTATTGGACGGCTAGGTGGCACAGTGGATAGAGCACTGGCCCTGGAGTGAGGAGGACCTGAGTTCAAATCTGGCCTCAGACACATAACACTTACTAGCTGTGTGACCCTGGGCAAGTCACTTAACCCTGATTGCCTCACCAAAAAAAAGAACAACCCCAAAAAACCAATTATCAAAATATATACTTTAAAAAAACCACCCAAATTCATGGGTACCAGGTTAAGAACTCTTGATCTAATCCATCCCACTCATTTTACTGGGGAGAAAATGGAAATTGTTGGGAACTGAAAGGTTGCCCATTAACTTGGAGGGTCCAGAGGAAACATCCCTAGACTATGGGAGACCTAATTTTGACTTCCAATTCTCACTCTCTATATTACCTCAAAACTATCACCCAAATCCTCTTACTGCCTCAGTCTTCTCATCTGAAAATGGGGATAACAACCCCTGTGGCAGACTACATGTTCCACCACTTGTCAAGAATAGAAAACTTATAGACCTGGGAAACTTGGGGAGAAAATAGAGACCCAAAATGATGGTTTTGTAGAATGGATTTTGAAACTCAGACAAAGAAGAGGAGGATGTATAGTGGATGAGGGATAGAAGGTGTGCCCCTTTGACAGACAGAGGTCAAGTCATCAGTTAGTTGACAAATGCTTATTAAGTGCTTACTATGTGCTGAGGCATTGTGCTGAGTCCTAGGTATACAAAAAAGGGCAAAAACAGGGCCTCCCCTCAAGGAGCTTACAATCTAATGAGGAGACACCGTGTCAATAGGTACACAGAAGAAGTAGCAGGGGAGAAGATGGAAGTCGGTGGGATATCTGGCCCTCATTTCAGTTCAATTCAACAATCATTTATTAATCCTTATGTGCCAGGCTCTGAGCTAAGTGCTTTGAAGATACAAAGACAAAATGAAGTAGTCCCTGCCAATGCTTAAGAAATATCCTTGTACTAGGGGAGACAAGATGTGTGTAGATAAATAAATCCCCAAATCTGGGATTTATGCATGAACAGTTTTGCGCTGGAATTTTCCTGCCATGCAGGAAGCCTGGGTTCAGCTCCTGGTCCACACCTTTTTATGGGAGGCAGTGCGACATAATAGAAGGAGCACTGATTTTGGAGTTAGGGGACCTGGATTCAAATCCTGCCTCTGACAGCTGTGAAGTTACAATGATCTCATTTTCCTCCTCTGTAAAATTAGAGATTTGGACCAGATAGCCTCTAAAGTCCCTCTGAGTTGCAGCTCTCTGGCCCTCTGGACTGAGGGGAGTCAGGAAAGGGCATCCCTTGGAAGGAGTGGGCAATCAAGGAGGTCTCCTAAGCCTGAGGTGACTTTAAAGGTCCATTAAGGGGTGCGTCTCCCCACTGGGGGTGGGAGAGAGTCCCCCTTGCTAACTCCCAGGCAGTAGATCAGTGGAGGGGGTTCCTGGGATGGGTAAGGGCAGCTTCACCAGTAGCTGCAACTATGTGGTTTTAATCAGGGAGCACCAAGGCGGAAGTTATTGTTTACATCCAAATTGGACTCAGATTTCTTGTTCCGGATGCTTTGCTCAGGGCTCATCAGGCCTCTGGAGAAGAGGTGTCCCTTGTCCCTTCCACTGGCCTTCAGGGGGACTGCAGATCATCTCTCTTTCCAGCCTGAATCAGGCCCCCATTCTCTGTCTCTTCCAGGGCTGGGGAGATCCAGGGAGCATTTAGGCCCCCTTTACAGGTCATTTATGGGGGTAAATAGGGTGTGATGGCAGGAGGCAAGGATTCAGAAAGAACTCAGGGAGATAGAAAACCCAGGCAACCTGATTCCCAGCCTTGGGTTCAGCCTGCTGGCTGTCACCCAGGTCCTTGCCCTAGGGGAAAGGAAATCACACCTCCAGGCAGACAATAGGGACCCAGACTCTTGGGACAGTCAGCAGCTGGGAAGGGGGTCAGCGTGGGACTAGGCAGCCATCCGAGGGGGTAGGACAGCACTTAGGGGGTGGAACTTCTCCACCCTACCTGCCTCTGGCCAATCAACAATCCCAACCTAAGAAAAAGGGGAAGACAGGCCAAAGAAAGGGAGAGGGGGAAGGGACAAAGAGAAAGGAGGCTAAAGAAAATTTCTGAGCAAAGTCAGGGTAAGGGAGAGGAGGGGAGTGTTGGGGCAGGGGGAGCTGAGTGCTGAGCCCCAGGGGCAGGTAAAGGAGTTGTTTCCTGTCAGAGGTTCCCCCTAGAAGGCTTTCACCTTTTATGGTAAAGGGATTGCTGTGGGACCGGCTGGGAAAGAGGGAGGAAAAGAAAAGAAGTAGGGGGGGAGGGGGAGTGGGGGAGGGAGAGAGGGAGGGAAGGAGGGGAGGAGGAGAGGGAGAGAGGGAGGGAGAGAGGGGAGGAGGAGAGGGAGGGAGGCTGGCAGGCTGGGGGCCGGGAGAAAGGAAGGGGCTGTGATGTCAGCGGGGAGGCTCACTTACCTCCCTGACCGGGGCAGAAGGCACTGAGGGGCTGCCAGAGAGGGCGTCCGGGACTGGCGGCTCCCGGAGCTCAGGTGAGCCGAACAATGGGGACTCCTCGGCGGTGGAGGAACAGTGGGGAGGTCCGGGCGGCTGCAGGGCCGCAGGTTCGAGCCCCAGCTCCCTCGGAATCGGGGGAGGGGGGAGGAAGGGGCCTGAGGGAGAACCCTCTGAAAGAGAGAGGGACAAAGCCGGGGGATCTGTTCCTAGTGGTGCCTGGGACGGGGGGAAGAACCGACCCAAGGAGGGACGTCGAGGAGGTAGGGGATAATGCTCGCCCCAGGGGCAGAAGGGGGGAGGTGAAAGGCAGCACCAGTGCCCTGATGACCTCAGCTGCCCGAGCATCAGCAGGCACCCTGCCCAGCTTCTTACCGATGGCAGAGGAATCGCCCCTGTCTCCGTGCAGAGACACCCCCCAGCCCAACCCAACAATAAGATTTCGAGCCAAAAGAGCCCTTCGAAGTCTTCTAAGCCAACGTTTTCACTTTACAGACCAGGAAACTGAGGCATCGAGGGTTTTAGTGACTTGCCCAGTGGGGATTTAAACCCAGGTCCTCTCATCAAGCACAAGCATCTGCTTCTAAATCCAGACCCTGGGACTCTGCCTGGTTCCAATCCTTACACTCACGGAGGGAGGGAGGGGGGAGGGGGAAGAGAAGTGCAGGGAAGGGGTAGGTGTGGGGGGGTGGTTCAAAAGCTTCTATGTCCCTTCAAAGGATAGCCTCCCGTCCCCCTTGTCCCCTGGACAAGGACTGGGTGCCGCCCATCCCTGGGACACCGCGTCCACCTCCCTGGTTGGGTGTGGAGAGAGTTTGTGGAAAAGCGGAAGAGGTCAGCTCTGTCCACAGCATAGGACCTTCAACCATGCCTGGGATCAGAATCAGCCCCCAAGGAGCTAGAGGACAGATGCCTTCCAAAGGGCTCCCAGACTTCTTTGTAGAGGATAGGATTTTAAACTGGAGCAATTGCAGACGTCATCGGGTACAACCCCTTCGTTTTACAGGTGGGGAAACTGAGACCCAGAAAAGGCATACTATTCGTAAGGGGCACAAAGCAACAGAGCTAGAACTCCCCAGAATTCAGGGCCTTTTCCCCTGCAGTAGTAAGGCAGGGGATCCCCTCTCCCTGCCCCTCACTCCATCATGTCTGTGCCCACCCTCCCCCTGAGGTTTAGGGCAAGAAGTGGAACAGGCAGTGAACATTGCCCAGCTGCTTGGGGCCTCCCATCCACCCCTCAGGCTCTGCTGAGTGGAAGGAGAGGCCAGGGAAAGGCTATTTTTGTGCCTCCTAATTATCACAGAAGATTAAACCCTAGCCCGTTCCCCCTGGGACAGGACCTGAGCAGCCCAAAGTACTGGCTATGTGCCCCTTCTGGAATACTCCCTTATCACCCAAGCTTTGCCACCCTCCCCAGCCCCCACTCCACCAACTTGGTGTGTGTGTGTATGTTTGATATCTTTTGTTTTTACATCACTTTCATTTCCAAATAGAATCATGCCTCCTTGTAGCAAAGAATAAAAAAAGGAGAAAAAAATGAATTTATCAAAACTTACCAAACCATCAACTGAGTCTGACAACACACAAAATGTCCTCACACGTAGTCTTTCACTTGTGTAAAGGAGCACCCTCATCCCTCCCAGGGATTAGATTAAAGCATTTATTCATCACTTACTAGGTACCAGGCCCTGTGCTGACTACTCCACACCTCTCCCCTTCTCAGACCTTCCTGCCTCTCATTTATAGAACCAATCAATCAATGAACGAGCATTTAAATGGCATTTTCCTTCATTGTAGTCTGCCATTATGCACATTTTACAGAGAAGTAGACTGGAGTCTGGGAGCTAAAGTGACTTAGCTGAGGTCTGGCAGCTGTTAATTGTGGAGGCAATAATGTTGTAGAAAGAGACCTGGATTTGATTACTTACCGTTAGTGGGAATCCAGGCAAGTCCCTTTGCTTCTCTGAGCCTCAGTTGTTCACATCTGGAAAATGGGAATAATTCCATACTTGGACTACATCCCTCACAAGGTACTTGTGAGAAAACACTTGGTAAAAGCCAGAACTTTTTAGCACAGTTGAAATGGGAGAGAGTGGCAGAATGTAAGATTTGAACCCTGGGCTTGTGACAGGCAGATGGGAACGGCAGGCTTCCCCCACTTGATTTCTCTAGACTAGCTCTCAGGCCCTGTGCAGTTCCTTTGCTCCTTGTTTATCCTGATGGGGATGAGTGCCTGACTTGGTTTATGCATGTATGTGTTTGTATTTGGGGGGGGGGAACCATGAAGGGAAACTAGGAAAAATAAGGAAGAGCAGGAATGGTGAAAGGGGGAGAGAGGAGGGAATAAGCATTTATATAAGTGCCTACTATGAGCCAGGCACTGTGCTAAGCGGTTTTACAAATGCTTCTTTTAAAAGGGGGTTTGGGGGGAGAACGGTAGTTCTGAGTTCCTTTTTTTTCCTAACTCCATGACCCAATTTGGGCTCAAACCAAAATGCTTTTTAACATACAGACTGCATCAAGCTACAGACTTTCAGGGGGAACTTGAAACCCCACTCCCATGCTGTTACGCATTGGAAAAGCCAGTGACCAGCATTGCCTCCCCACCCAAACCTGCTAGGTCCCCTGGGGGTTTTGCCTTCTTTGAGGGTGGGGGGACGCAATGCCTCCTGCTCCTGCTGACACCAGCTCCTCCTTCCCCCCTGGATGGAGCCCTGAGGCTGTGTGTCCCAGCCCTAATGGTCTCTCTCTTCCTTTCTCTGGGCAGGAAATGACTTTCCTTTTCTTTGTTCCTACTTTCTCCTTTTCCACCCCCAAACTGGATATCCGTTTAGTCTATCAGAGGAAGGGGTGGGGGGTGGGATGTGAAGTGTTCCAGGTCAAGGTGGGGTTTGTTCAGATCCCCAGCCATGGGGTAAGATACTGCCTGCTGGGGAGAGACTCTATTCCCCACAGAGGTCTGGCCCTTTAAGGGAGGGAGAGGATAGGGTCTGACCACACCACCACCACTCCCCTCCCACAGAATTCGGGGGATGACCATCGAGGGAGGTAGGGTTCTTCCCACCCCCCAGGACCCAAATGGGGTCAGGCCTCTAGCTCTGCAGAAGGGTCTCGAGCGGAATGGGCTTTGAAAATTCCAAACTCATTGTTCCCATGGGGACTGCCTTCTCCACCAGTAACCACAAGCAAGGCAGAGAAGGGGGAGGGCAGGAGAAGGGGGAGTGGGTTTGCACAGCTGTCAGCATCTGGGTTGCAGGACTGGATTCCTCTGCCCCAGGCTGCTGTTCAGTTTTTCTAAAGAAATCCGGTAAAAATGATTTTCCCAGAGAGGGTATGCATGTGCCTCTGTGTGTGCCTGCCTGCCTGTGTGTGTGTGTGTGTGTGTGTGTGTGTGTGTGTGTAGATGCCCATTAATGGATTTGGGTGGAGGAGGGTCACTCTAGACCTTGCTTGGGGGTGAAGGGGCCCAGAAGGAAGGCTTAAGGTAAGGCTGTTAAGGAGTTTATGTATTCACTAGAACTGGAAAAAGAACTCTCTTTTTCAGATAAGGAAATATAGGTTTAGAGAGGGTCACACAGCTAAGAGGTAGCAGATTCTGAGATTTGAACCCAGGTCTTCTGACTCTAAATCTGGTGCCCTTTCCAACATTTTAGGGCTGACTGGTTTGACCATCATCTCCTGAGGGGAGGAGCTCAGTTTTCAATGACTTTATAACAGTTCTCTTGGGCCTCTCCGCAGCTTTCCCAATGGGTACAATTACATAGAGCAATTTTCAGGCCTGGGGTATCTGAGAATTTGGGGTCTCTATGTCATCCAGTGAAAACACAGACTCTTAATTAAAACACCCCATCATTGAATGTCACCCTGCAGACACTTAGAATTCCAAGCTCAGATTCATAGGGTCATAGCCTCATAGATTTAGAGCAGGCCAAGACCTTGAGCTAAGTCCAACCCTCCTCCCATTTTTAGGAAACTGAGAACCAGAGAGCTGAAGTGATTTATTTGCCTAAGGTCACATAGGCAGTAGCTGGGATGCAAACCCTGGTGTACAAATCTTAGTTCTGATACTTACTATCTGAGTGAATTTGGGAAAATCATTGACAATCTGAGCCTCAGTTTCTTCATAGGACTGTCGTGAAGAAAGTACTATCCATACCTTAAAGCCAAATAGAAATGGAAGCCAAGAATGGAACTTCAGATGGAACAGCCTAGAAATTACGTTTTGGGCCTTTTCCCCAGGCCTATAGTCAAGGGGGTGCTGGTCAGTGTTTAACAACCGGCTGTTGATGGGGAGAAAGGTATGCAGGGTACACTTTTATGTGTCATTTGCGTTTTTAACACTTCCTCCATCACTTTCTTAAATCTAGACAATCAAAAACAATAAAATAAGTTCTGATTTGTGACATTTGCTGATTTCCCAGGCACAAAATGATCGTGTAGTAAATTGAATAATCCATAACCAACTGGATCCAGCATATCCCTGCTATTCTGAGAGTTTAGGTTTCCCTTCTGCCCCAAGTTCCCCATGGGTAGGGCTGCTCTTGAGACGTTCCACTGCGGCCAGACTGCTCCTTCCTGGACACACCATTCACTCTTTATCACAGCCACCCATCGGCTTGGGTCCCCATGCCACTGCAGCATAACACTGGCCCCAGGTGTAGACCCACGCCCAGGATGCTAGATAGGGCAGGTCCTTCTGAGGGATCCGCTGGCCAGTGTGGCCAGCCCAACCTCTTGTCACTCTGTGAAAGGGCTTACTTAGCACAGCGCGTGCTTACTAAATGCTTATTTTCTTTCTTTCTTCCTTCCTTCCATGGCAAGAATACTGGCCTTGAAGTCAAGAGACCTCAGTCAGATTCTGGGTTCAGGTGCTTGCTCGTTGTGTGGTGTGGGATGTGTGTGTGTACGTATGTGAGAGAGAGAGAGAGAGGGAGGGAGGGAGGAGAGGGGAGAGAGGAGAGGGTGGAGAGGGGACAGAGAGAGAGAAGGAGGAAGAGGGAGGGAGAGGGAAGAGAAGAGAGAGAGAAGGAGGAGAGGGGAGAGAGGAGAGGGTGGAGAGGGGACAGAGAGAGAGAGAAGGAGGAAGAGGGAGGGAGAGGGAAGAGAAGAGAGAGAAGGAGGAGAGGGGAGAGAGGAGAGGGTGGAGAGGGGACAGAGAGAGAGAGAAGGAGGAAGAGGAGGGAGGAGAGGAAGAGAAGAGAGAGAGAAGGAGGAGAGGGGAGAGAGGAGAGGGTGAGAGGGGACAGAGAGAGAGAGAAGGAGGAAGAGGGAGGGAGAGGGAAGAGAAGAGAGAGAGAAGGAGGAGAGGGGAGAGAGGAGAGGGTGGAGAGGGGACAGAGAGAGAGAGAAGGAGGAAGAGGGAGGGAGAGGGAAGAGAAGAGAGAGAGAAGGAGGAGAGGGGAGAGAGGAGAGGGTGGAGAGGGGACAGAGAGAGAGAGAAGGAGGAAGAGGGAGGGAGAGGGAAGAGAAGAGAGAGAGAAAGAGAGGTGAGAGAGAGAGAGGGAAGAGAGACAAAGACACACAGAAAGACAGAGAGAGGTAGAGAGAGAGGAGAGAGACAGAGAAAGACAGAGATAGAGAAGGAGGAAGAGGGAGGGAGAGAGAGAGAGGAGAAAGAGATGCACATTGTCTGCTTAACTTCTCTCTGACTCAGTTTCTTCAGCTGTAGGTTGGGATAGCAATAGCACTCCCTCAGCCGATTGTTGTAAGGATCAGACAAGGTGATATAAGGTGCTTTGCAGACCTTGAAGGGCTCTACATCAATACCAGTTATTATTATGGTTATTATACCAAGTGCACACATTGGGCCCCTACTAGGGTTAAGAGCCTAAGCAAGCCTGGGTGGGACCCCAGGATTCCTGGTCTGAGCTGCAGTTCCTTCCCCTGAACCCTCTCTATCAGGCCTCAATTCTCTGTCTCCCCACCTCTGGAGACCACATCCAAAGTAGAAGATTCTGGGGGACTGTGATCACTGTCTTCAAAGAGTTCAAGGATTGTTATATGGAAGAATATCATATGGAGATTAAACTAGATCAATAAACTTGAACAGGAGCAATGGTGGGGGGAGTTATAGTAAGAACAATGTCAGCTCCATGTAAAGAAAGAAAACCTAACACTTAGAGCTGAGCACACTTACTGGCTGTGTGACCTTGGGCAAGTCACTTCACCCTGTTTGCCTCAGTTTCCTCATCTGTAAAATGAGCTGGAGAAGGAAACGGGAAACCGCTCTGGTATCTCTGCCAAGAGAATCCCAAACAGGACAACAAAGAGTTGGACACAACTGAAAAATGACTTAAGGAAAAAGAGCTGAGCAAAAGTGAAAACATACTGCTTTAGGGAGTAGTGAGTCCTGTCACCAGAAGACTTTAAACCAGAGGTGGGGAACCTGCAACCTCAAGGCCTCACATGGCCTCTAGGTCCTCAAGTTTGACTGGATTAAAACTTCGCAGAACAAATCCCCTTGTAAAAGGATTTGTTTTGTAAAACCTGGACTCAGTGAAAAGGCCAAACCCGAGGACCTAAAAAGCCTAGGGCTGCCGGTTCCTCATTGCTGCTTTAAATAAAAGTTTGAAAACCGTAGAATCATAGATCTAAATCTGAAAGGGACATGGAAGACCACCCAGTGGCCCAAGGTCACACAGGTAGCATCAGAAGTGGAATTTGAATCCAGATCCTTTGACTTGTTTTAGGAGGAATTTTTGTTTAGGGGAACTAGGTAGTCTCCAAGCTCTTATCCACTCTGGTGTTCTGTGCTTCTTTTCGAAGACCTCTTATGATTCCTAGCCCTTGGGGTTCCTGGGACTGGGCCAATGGCTGTAAGTCCCTAGATACAGGTGATTCCCAGAACGTTCTCCTGCAACCAGAAAAATCCAATATCTGCGCATTCTCTCCCCTAGAATGTCTTCCTGAGCTCTGATTCCCATCTCCAATTACTCTTGGACCATTGGAATCTCCTCAGCAGAACATCACTGACCAGGGAGGGAGACCAGGAAAAGTCTGTAAGTCCAGGGTGGGGATCCTTAGGCAGGGCTGGGGTTAAGCAGACATCTGTTCTTGGGTGTGTGTGTTAAATTGTGCTGGGAGGCTGGGGAGGGGCCAGGACTCTTGCCTCCAGTCAGCAGAGCCCTTCCTTCTCCTCAGATCCTTGATGGAAGAGAGATCAATCATTAATATGGTGAGCAGGGAGTGGCTGCCCTTTGCTCCATCTGACCAGGCAGGTAGAATGGGCAGGGAGCAGGGTTTAGGTGTCCCATTCCCACATCCTGGTGTCAATCCCCCCTTCCCCGGCCCTGGCCTCCTCGTAACCTCAGTTGGTCAATTTATCAAATGGAGCTCCTGGCCCCTGTTTCATTCTTTAGAAAGACAAAGGGAAGAAGGTAAGAACAGAGAAATTTTGTGTCCCTTACGAGGGGAATGAGTAAATCAAAGGAAATAATAATTTTATGCTTATGTATTTCTTCCCTGCCCCATGCCATTGAAGGCAACTGTAATCTGATAATAGAATCTTTTTTTCCTTAAGGCAATCGGGTTAAGTGACTGGCCCAGGGTCACTAGCAAATGTCTGAGATCGGATTTGAACTCAGGTCCTTCTGACTCCAGGACTGGTGTTCTATCCACTGCACCACCCAGCCGCCCCAATAATAGAGTCTTAGGGGTTCAGAGCAATGAAGAAGACCTGACTTCAGAACCTGCCTCTGACCTTTACTTAGCTGTCTGACCCTGGGGAAGTAATCTAACTTCTGCTTGTCTTGGTCAACTCCCTAAAACGTATCTATAAAGTAAGAAATGATTCACAATCTGCATTAGGAAGTTCCCACCCTGGGACCATTTTTTTTTAACAATGACAAACTGAGTACCTCCCCCAACCACACTATACTTCCTTTCTTTATGATGACAATTGATTTAGCGCTGGAAAGAATCTCAGAATATAGAGTATTAGCCCTGAGAGGAGTCTGAAAACATTGAAAATCAGAATTAGAAGGAACTTATGATGTAGACCAGAGGAGGGTAACGTGCTGCCTCGAGGCCACATGTGGCCCTCTAGGTCCTCAAGTGCGACGTTTTGGACCACATGTGGCCTCGAGGCAACAGCTTCCCCTCCCCTGATATAAATTGTTGTACCTTGGAAGGATCTTAGAAAACAGAATGTCAGAGCTAGAAGGGATTTTAGACATCTTCTAGTCTAGAGTTCAAGGGGTCTGTGAACTTAGATGGAAAAAAAAATTTACATCTTTATTTTCACTAACTTCTAACTGAAATTTAACATGTCTTTCAATTATGAACTAAAAAAAACCTATTCTGGGGATAATAATAGCTAGCACTTATATAAAGCTTTAAGAATTGGTAAGCACTTTATAATTATTATCTCATGTGAACTTCACATCAACCTTGCTATTATTATCCCCACTTTACAGATGGAGGAACCAAGGCAGATAGAGGTTAAGTGACTTGCCCAGGGTCACACAGCTAGTAAATACCTGAGGCTGGATTCCAAATTGGGTCTTCCTGACCCGAGGATAAGCTCTTTATCTACAAAGCACTGAGCAGCCAGACTGCCAAAAAAAAATTCAACCCACTCATTTTACTGATGAGGAAAATGAGACCCAGGAGGGGAAACTAAGGTCGTTTGTCCTTGTTCAGTTATTTCAGTCATCTCTGATTCTTTGTGACCATTTAGGGTTTTCTCGGCAGAGATACTAAAGTGGTTTGCTATTTCCTTCTCCAGCTCATTTTACAGATAAGGAAACTGAGGCAAACAGGGTTACGTGACTTGCCCAGGATCACACAGCTTGTAAGTGTCTGAGGCTGGATTTGAACTCTGGAAGAGGAGTCTTCCTGATTCTGGGCTCTGCACTCTATCCACTAGGGTGCCCTCTAGCTGCCCCAACTGAGGTCATAGATCTAGTAAATCTCTAGACCTGGGGTTTGAACCCAGGTTTTCTGACTCTAAATTCAGTGTTTGTTTATTTGTTTGTTTTTTAACTACCCTATATCTCCCTCAAGTGTTTTGAGGGAGGAACTGTGCTGATTAGCCCCAGCATCAAGCACAGTATTATGCACACAGTAGGGTATTTCACTATTTATTGTATTGAAGTGCCCGGCTACATTTAGCTTTGACCTTCTGCAGTTTACCCAGTGCTTGCAAGTCACAGCAACCCTGTAAGACAGGCAGTGCCGGTAGTATTATCCCCATTTTACAGATGAGAAAACCAATGCTCTGTCAGGCGAAGCGATTTGCCCAGGATTGCACAGCTGCGCATCAGAGACGGCAGTTTCGGAGGAGCGATGCTTCTGTCTTCCTCGAGGGAGGAGCCCTCAAATCCATCAGAGCTTGCATGTGTCTGAATCTGCACATGTGTGTGCTGGCATGTTGGAACTTGTGCATGTAGTCCTGCCGCTTGGGCTCTCCTGGAGCAAGACTGCTACCAGCCTGAGAGCAGGAGAATTGAAATCAACTCACCAAATATTTACCAAGCCAGATTAGGTGCTAAGTTACAGAGAAGGGACTGACACGCATTGGGAGAAGGAGCTTCCTCACCGGGGAGGAAATCACAGGGCTAGCCCCTAGCTTCATCACTCTCCTAAATACAAAGCACTGTGCTTCGTGCTGCCAGGGAGGAGGGGAGGTTGTTGTTGTTTTCAAAGGGAAAAAAAACCCCCCGACAAAGCTCCTGCCCTCAGAAGCAGCTTATGGTCTAATGAGTTAGAACTCAAGTGTGTTAGAAAGTGGAATGTGAGAAGGGAAATGATCAGGGAAGACTTCCTGGAGAAGGCAGCATCTCAAGGTTTGGGCCTTGAGAGAAAGGAAGGAATTCAACAGATGGGAAAAAGGAGGAAGATGGAAGAGAAAAGGACAAGAATAGGGGGTAGAAAATGTTAGTGTTTGTCTGGAACATAGAATATGTGAGGGCTTGTACTATGAGATAAGGGAGGGCAGGTAGATGGGAGCCAGGTTGTGGAAGGAAGGGAGGAAGGAAGGAAGGAAGGAAGAAGGAAGAAGGGAAGAAGAAAGGAAAGAGGGAGGGAAGAAAGAAGGGGAGTAAGGAAAGAAGGAAAAAAGGAAAGAAGGGAGGGAGGAAAGAAGGGAGGGAGAAAGGAAGAAAGGGGGCAGGGAGAGAAAGAAGCTTAATATTAATTAATTAATTGATTGATATTGCGCATCTGCTCTGTGCCAGGCACTATGCTAAGTACTTTCCAAATAATCTCTTATTTGATCCTCACAAACCACCCTGATCATTTCAGGTAGCTGCTTGAACAGCAGGACCAGTAGTTTATTTTTTAGGCCCTTGGGAAGAGGGAGCCATGGAAGGTTTCTGAGCAGAGGAGTCCTGATCACACAGGGGTGTTAGGCAGATCTGGGCAGTGGGAAGGGGTGAGAGCTGGGAGAGGCTTGTTTCCCCAGCCCCAGGCCATTAACTCTTCTCTTTGCTCAGGAGGGAGATGATGGCTGCGAAGTCGGGAAAGAGGATGGCCTCCTCCATCTTCATCACCCTGACTCCCCCTCGCCGGGACACAGCCGTGGTGGATGAGGTGAGGCAGGTGGCCAGTTCCAGTCGGGCCAGTTGGGCCCGGGAGCCTGTCTCGGCCAAGAAGCCCAGCAGCGACTTTCTGGTGAGCAGACAGGACCCACGGATCCCCAGCGTTCCGGTGGCACCTCCCCCACCGGTCCTTCTACCTAATGGAGGTAAGACAAAACATGGGGCAGGGAAACTGGGGCAAACAAGTGGGCAGATGTGGCAGAGAGGGAGCGTGGACTGAGAGCAAGGTGCTGTAGGAAGGAGGGAATAAGCATTTACACGACACCTACTATGTGCTAAGCACTTCTTCAAATAGCTTGTTGGATTCTCACAGCAACCCTGCTATCCCCATTTTACAGATGAGGAGACTGAGGTAGGCAGAGGTGAAGTGACTTGCCCAGTGTCACACAGCTAGTAAGTGTCTGAGCTTCCTAACTCCAGGCCCAGTGCCCTGCACACTATGGCACCACCTAGCTCCGTGTGGAATCTTAAAGTTGGATTAAAGAAATTCACTTCACGAGACAAGATGGGGGAGACATGGGCACAGGACTGTTCTAGCTAATCTTTAACAACTGACTCTCCTCCCAAAAATGTATGCAGGACCCACTCTTAAATTTAACCTACATTATTAATATTTTCTCCATTACTTTCCTAAGTCTAGGCAATCAGCAAAACAAATTAAACCTGACTTGTAGCATTTTCAGATTTCTGAGATTGAAGTGCTCACAATGAAAATTTAACAATTGGGTAAGCTAGGTGGCATAGTGGATAGAACACCGGCCCTGGAGTCAGAAAGACCTGAGTTCAAATCCAGCCTCCGACATTTACCAGCTCTGTGACCCTGGGAGAGTCATTTAATCTTACTGCCTCCAAAACAAAAGGAAGAAAATTTAACAACCAGCTCTCCCAGGCTGGTTCAGCTGGCTCCAACATACCCTTCCATGGACAATAGTTTTCTGAAGAAATCTGGGGAGTATTGTGAGGGGAAACTCAAAAGTTGTCAGCAAAAAACCCTAAAGTGATTTTGGGGGCAATAAGAGAGGCTAAGCTCTGGGAAATAAAGAAGAGACAGCCCTACTGTCCTGTGCCCGAGTCAGGTCACATCTTTGTGTGTGTGGCCAGTACTGGGCACCAGGGTTTAGGAAAAACATTGCTAAGCTGGGGAGGGTCCACAGGAGGCCACCAGGAGGGTGAAGGATCTTTCCATGATATATTGAAGGTGGGTTGAAGGAATCGGGGTGTTTAGCCTGGAGAAGAGGCCAGGAGAGCTGGGTTCAAGTGCCTGAGGGCTGTTTGTGTAAATGAGTGACTGAGTGTATTCTGTCTGGGTCCAGAGATCTGCTGAGAGCAGTGTGTAGAAATCACAAGAAGGCAGATTTAGGCGTGTTGTCAGGAAAAGCCTCCTAAAACGAAAGGTGTCTGAAGGTGGAGAGGCACACGGCCCCAAGCAGACCTGTTGGGTGATGGCCACGGGCTGGAGATGTGTTCCAGGACGGGGCCTCCATGGGTACCCACCAACCCTCCAATTCCATCATTCTGTGTTTCCTGGGTGCTCCCACCCTCCCAGGGCGATGGGGAGATGTCTGTCAGGTGCCTTCTCCCTCTCTGTTCTGGAAGAGGCTAAGTTGAAGTGAGGGGTGGGAGGGAAGGCGAGTTGATTTGGGAGAACCAGGGAGAAGTAGCCTGGGATGGAGGGGAAACGCAGTCTGATGGGAACATGGGACAGCAGCTGGGAGCATGACTCAGAGAGCTATTTGGCCAGGACTTTCTGGAGACAGCAGCTGAGCCCTGGCTTTCCTCAGGATGCCTAGGCCTCCTCTCCCTCCCCAGAGGGGTCTCTGGGCCCAGCCTGAGCAGCTGCCCAAACCCACAGACACCAGAGCAGAAAATGCTGGTGACTGCAGCCAGGGGCTGCAGCTGGGGGCGAGGAGGCTTGGGGGACAGATTGTGCTGTCCTCAGGATCCCAGCTGGGAGGGATCCTTGGGGAATGTGCTGAAGTGTGTGTGTGTGTGTGTGTGTGTGTGTGTGTGTGTGTGTGTGTGTGTGTGTGTGTGTGTGTACTAGGCAGGCACATGACCAGACCGCCCCCAGCCCCCAGCTGTCCCAAGCAGAAGGCCTCCCGGCTTGTCTCCGGCTCCCCACCCCACCCCCGCACAGTCCTCACCCCTGGGGAATCCAGAGAGAGCCTTCTCTCAATCACAGCCCCAGCCCAGACAGGCTTTGAGTTGCTATCTTGTCTCACAACAACCTTATGAAATCTTAATGAAAGGATTTTTTTTTTCTGGTGAGGCAATCGAGGTTAAGTGACTTGCCCAGGGTCACACAGATAGTATCAAGTATCTGAGGCTGAATTTGAACTCAGGTCCTCCTGACTCCAAGGGCAAGTGCTCTATCCACTATGCCACCTAGCTGCCCCTGGAGTGAAATTTTTTTATCCCCATTTTATAGATGAGGCAGCTGAGGCTTAGAACATAAAGGACGTGACAGTAGTCACAATAGCTAGTGAGGATGTCACACACAGGATTTGAACCTGGGTTTCCCAATTCCAAATCGAGTTCTCTTTCTCTACAATACATTCATTTAGCCATTTGGTCCGTGAAACTATTTTCAGTCAGTCATTTTTCAATCATGTCTGACTCTCATGACCTCATTTAGGGTTTTCTTGGCAGAGATACTGGAATGATTTGCCATTTCCTTCTCCAGCTCATTTGACAGATGAGGAAACTGAGGCAAACAGGGTGAAGTGACTTGCCCAGGGTCACACAGCTAGTAAGTGTCTGAGGCCAGATTTGAACTCACCAAGCTGAGTCTTCCAGACTCCATGCCTAGCACTCTGCGCACTGTGGCGCCCCCTAGCCGCCTAGGACTGAGGACCAGGACTTTTGACTGAGTCCAAGTTTTACAGAGCAAATCCTTTTATGAAGGGGATTTGTTCTGTGAAGTTTGGATTCAGTCAAAGGGCCTCACTTGAGGCCCTAGGGCCACACGTGGCCTCGAGGCTGCAGGTTCTCTAACCTTGGACTGGGTAATCTCCTATAGCTCTAAACCCAGTGATACCAGGCAGTCCCCACGACGGTGAAAAGATCTATAGCTGTCAAGCTGGAGAAGACCTGGGTTTAAAACCCACCTCTAATGCTTACTACTTATGTGACCTTGGGGGACAACTAGGTGGTGCAGTGGATAGAGCATCGGCCCTGGAGTCAGGAGGACAAATCCAGCCTCATACACTTGACACTTACTAGCTGTGTGACTCTGGGCAAGTCACTTAACCCGATTACCTAGCCAAAAAGCAAAAAAAAAAAAAAAAGAAAAAGTACCCCATTACCTAGCCAAAAAGTAAAAAAAAAAAAAGAAAAAGAAAAAGTGGCCTTGGGTAAATCCCTCACCTCCCCGGGCCTCAGTTTCCTCATCTGTAAAATGAGAGGGGTGGCCCAAATGGCCCCAGAAATCCCCTCCAAGTCTAGATCTGTGATCCTATAAACTGGCTGGGATCTCTTAGGGGAGAGGATTTAGGGGAGGGGTTGGGCCTATAGTGCTGAGGCACAAAAGCAAAGGTAGACCTCAGCAGCAGTCCTGGCCCCCATCCCCCCCTGCAGGGTGATGCCCAAGGCCCAAGCCCCTGGGGGCAGCCTGACCCTGCTTTGGGACTGGCACTAGCCCAAGCCCCAGCAGGCGGCCGGGGTGGCTACCTCCCTGCCAGCTCTTTCGCCGGGCTGTGATTTCCCATCCCTCCCATCTGTCTGGCTCAGGAGGTAAGACTAGTGATGCATTCACCCTCCACCATTTGTTCCCACAGCAATTATCCACCATTGTTGTGGCAACCTGGCAGATGCTGGGCGTGGGCTTGGGAGGAAGGCTCCCTGGTGTTAATTACACCTGGGGTAATTGTTAGGAAACAGAAGGAGGAGGGGCAGAATGGCTGGGTGACCACTAACTTAATCCTGCTCATCATTCTCCATCCCCCCTATCCCCGAAGCCTCCGAGAGCCCAGAGAGGCACAGCATTGACCGACAGGCAGGATTTCTGGGGCCTCTGCTCCCTGCTCCAGCCCTCGGCCAGCCTCGGCCCTTTTCTCTTCTGGGTCATCTTGGGCAAGTCCTGCCAACTCAGTTCTCTCTGCTCCTGAGTTTCCTCTTCAGTAAAATGATCTCTGCAGGCCCTCCCAGCTCTGACATCCAAGGTTCTAAAGGCCTTCCCAGCTCTGCCATTCTGTGTTCTGAGGCCCCTCCCAGCTCTGCCATTCTGTGTTCTAAGGGCCCTCCCAGCTCTGACATCCAGGGTTCTAAGGGCCTTCCCAGCTCTGACATTCTGTGTTCTAAGGGTCTTCCCAGCTCTGACATTCTGTATGCTGAGCTCCCTTCCAGTTATGACATCCTATGTTCTGATACCTTTTCTAGTTCTGACATTCTATGTTCTAAGGTGGCATTATCTCCTCAGATTAGCTATTCAGAGAGAAGAACCCTGAGAAGATTGGATTTGGAGGTTTGATTTGATGGGGAGGAGAAAGAGGTCTGAGGGTCAATGCTGCCAGTGCCAGGAAAGGCCTTAGTGGCATGAGGTGCCTACTGGGGGTAGGGGTATCCAAGACAATGTACACCTTCTTCCTCATTTCACTGGGAGTCGGCCTGTCCCATGAGGGTCTGGTCTCCATCTCGCTCTTCCTTCCACTTGTAGGTTCATCGCTCCCTCCTCCAGCCCCAGATGCTGAGGACAGCTTTCCTGATCTGGATCTCCTCCCTCCTCCACTGCCCCCTCCAGCCTTCCTGCTCCCACCAGATGAGGAGGGCCTCACCCAGGGAGGGGATTCACTCTCAGAAGACCTACAGCAGCTGCATGTGGTCCCTCCACCTCCCCCCCCACAGGTACCAAAGCCCTAGGAAACATAGAAGCCTCCCCTCCTCCTCCACAGCTGTGCTAGATGGGCAACAAAGACAGAGGCTGAGAAGGAAAAGGGGGATCCTTGGCCTTGGAGGCTGTGGGACCTACTCCTTAACTTCCATAGAGCTCCCAAAGCCTTACAACTGGGAGATGTACTGTGCTTACAAAGGCCCCAGAGAAGGGGAGCCCATGCCCTTCTCCAACATCCTTTCCAATATCTAATAACAATAATAACAGTAATAGTGATAAGAGTAGCAATAGTAATCATAATGGTGCTGATGAATCGCTCCCATCCCCTGCTTATCGAGCAGTTTATGTCCTTACCTCATTTCATACTCACAAGGTCGCAGGGAAGTTTGTAGTGGAACTAATATTTTTATCCCCATTTAATAGATGAAGAAACTGAGGCCAAGAGATATGAAATTACTTGCCCAAAGTCACATAGCTTGTAAATGTAACCTGGGGCTCAAACCCACTCTTGACTCTTTGGTTCAGGCCTCTTTCCACTATCCTCACTATTTGAAAGACTTTCCTCGTGTCCACCCAGAACCTCCTATGCTAAAAGAAGAGCTCTGTGTTTCTTAATCTGCAAGTGGGGCAGTTGGAATAAATGATCTCTGAAGTGCCTCCAAGCTCTGACATCCTATGTTCTAAGGACCCTCCCAGCTCTGACATTCTCTATTCAAAGGCCTCCCAGCTCTGATATTTTACATTCTATGTAATCTCTTTGGTCATAGACTCCTTAGGCAGTCTGGTGAAACCTATGGACTCTTTTCAGAATAATATTTTAGTTGTTTGTTTTAAATTCATAATTGAAGGAAATAATAAATTTCACTAAAAAAAGAAAAAGATGGGTTTTTTCCCCATCCCAATTCATAGAACTCTTTGGGGTCTGTAGACCCCAGGCTTAGAACTCCTATTCTAAGGTCTCTCCCAGCCCAGAGACCTCTTCCAGCTCTCTTCAAGTATTTGAAAAGGGATGAACCTTGTTCTTGGCCCTAGAGAGCTCAACTGAGAGCTGTGGGAAGATGAAGCTGGGAGGGGAAACTGAGGCTTGGTGACTTAGAGCTGCCCCAGAGTGGAATTAGCTGCTTCCATGGGGAATGGGATTCCCCTCACTGAACGTCTACAGGCCAAGATCAGATGACCTCTTGTCTGCTCTATTGGACTAGCCTCCAGTTGTGAAATCCTGTGACTTGAACATTTGATGTCCTCAGTGCCTTCCAGCTCTGATACTGCATGTTCTGTGATGCTACAAAATCCATTTCTCTGGCTTTTGTCCTCAGTGGACAGAAGAACCAACTGGTTTCCCAGCCATCCCATGATAACCGGACACTAGCTTGTGTGTGGGCCAGTAGGGGTAGGAGGGAAGGGCTGGAGAACGGAGGGGTGAGAAGTGCCCACTTGTCTACTGAGGCAGGCTCAGGCCAAAAGCCAAAGGGCTTGGGGGAAAGCCAGGTCTTGAGCAATTTCTTGAGAGCTAGGAATAATCAGCTGTGGTGTTATGGGAAGAGCCTGGGACTGAGAGGAGTGAGACCCGAGTTCTAGTCCTAATTCTGCCACTAATTTGTCCTATGACCTTGAGGAAGTTGCTTCCCCCTATTCCAGGGCCTCTGTTTCCCCATCCATAAAATGGGCACGTGGCCAGGGTGAGAGACCCATTGTGATGAACGCGCTTTGTCACTGAAGAGATGCGAAGGTCATTAAGGCAGGTCACAGGGCCCTTCCAGGGATCAGAGCTAATGGTGTGTCTCTGCCCTTGCTGGGAACCATCAGCATTGGTGTTTTCCTTTTTGTCTCCATTACAGGCCCTACCTGAGCCCCGCCAGCTCAAGCCTCGGCCCAATCACCTCAAGGGAGTACAGGAAGAGTTACTGCCACCCCCTGAAGAGCCAGACCGAGTCCCAGGGAGGGAGGAGTCCACAGGTATTCCCATGGGTAGTGGGCAGGGGTGAGAACCTTCCCAGGCAGTCAGGTTCGGGGAGCTTGCCTGCTCTGTTCTGGGACAGCTGGAGGTATTGGGAACAAGGAGGAGAGGGGGTGCTTGTCACTCTCCATGCAGGCAAAGCCTGAAAAGCACTTCTGCTTCCTACACTGAGGATGACAGAGTCCACAGCTGTCTTTTCTGCGGAGAAGACTCATGACCTTGGGCGAGTCCCTTCCCATCTGGGCTTCAGTATTCCCTCTCGAAAAATGAAAGCATTGGACTAGGTGATTCCTAAGGTCCTTTCTAGCCCTGATATTCTGTGTTCTATCTAAGATCTGATATTCCATGTTCTGAGGCACTCCTTAGTTCTGACATCCTGTGTTTTCAGGGCTCTTCCAGCTCTGACATTCTGGGTTCTAAGGTTTCTCTTGGGTCTGATATTCCATGTTCTAAGGAACCTCCTAGCCCTGGCATTCGCTGTTTTCAGGGCCCTCCCAACTCTGACATCCTCTGTTCTAAGGGCCCTCCCAGCCCTGACATCCTGTGTTCTAAGGGCCCTCCCAGCCCTGACATCCTGTGTTCTAAGGGCCCTCCCAGGCCTGACATCCTGTGTTCTAAGGGCCCTCCCAGCCCTGACATCCTCTGTTCTAAGGGCCCTCCCAGCTCTGACATCCTCTGTTCTAAGGGCCCTCCCAGCCCTGACATTCTCTGTTCTAAGGGCCCCTCCAGCTTAATAATTCCTCTGCATTGTCTCTTTTTCCAGTAACTCAAACCTGACAAAGTATGACACACTCCCCTAAGAAAACTGCAGCAAAGCCGCCTGCAGCCAAGAAGGCCTTGAGCCTTCAGATAGGTTCACAAGACCTCGAGCCAGATGAGATCTTAGTCATCGTCTAATCCAACGACTTCATTTTATAATGGAGAGAACTGAAGCCCAGACAGGAGACTTGCCCAGGATCCCAGAGGGTGGTTAGTAACAGAGCCAGGAGCAGAAGCCATATCTCCTGTCTACTAGATCACACAGAGTCCTCTCTGTCTGTCCACGTCAGTGGTTCTCTCTTAATGGTTATGTATTCTTCATACCCACAAAGCACCACTACAAAGTGAATTGTTATTAGCAGAGAGCATTCTTCTTTTGCTTTACCCACAACAGTGCCAGGTTCGTCGCATCTTCTTTAATTAAGGTACTCTGGTGAGTTGGGAAAGGTTTTGTATTCGCTCAGGATGGGCTCCTGACCCTCCCTCTGTCCCATCCCACAGACATCTGTGCCTTTTGCCACAAAGTAGTGTCCCCCCGAGAGCTGGCCGTAGAGGCCATGAAGAGACAGTACCATGCCCAGTGTTTCACGTGCCGGGCCTGCCACCGACAATTGGCAGGCCAGCGCTTCTACCAGAAGGATGGCCGGCCCCTCTGTGAGTCCTGTTATCAAGTAAGTATCCCCTGGGCGACCCTTGGGGAGGGCTGCTGCAGAAAGGAGGAAGGAGAAAAAAGGCAGAGGACTCATGAGATCATCAATTTAAAACTGGGAGGGATCTTCAAGGCCACTCTAAGAATCCCACCCCTCATTTTACAGATGAGGAAACTGAGGCCCAGAGAAGTTAAGTAGCAGAGGCCAGTCCGACTCAGGTCCTCTGGCTTTGAATCCAACCTTCTTGCCCTCGCACCATGACAGGCTGGAGGATGGGGAAGGGGAGTTTCATGAGGAGAGAGGGGTGGAGCTACAACTCCAGAGGAGCTCAAGGTGGGAGAGCCAGGAAGGCCCTGGAGCAGCCCTGAGAGGAGACCCCATTTAGAAGGAATTTCAGTCTATGTTGGCCCAAAGTGTGTTCCCTGCACCTGGAGGCCTTCCAGAAGAAGCTGCAGGACCACTTGTCCGAGACGTTGTAGACAAAGATTCCTGCTGCACACTCAGGGTTTGATTGCATGGCTGCTCATGTAGCATCCCAAATGGCAAAGCTCTGATACTTTAGGAAAGCAGAAAGGCCAAAATCAAGTAAGTAAATGGAAGGGAGGAAGGAAGGAAGGAAGAAGGAAGAAAGAAAGAAAGAAAGAAAGAAAGAAAGAAAGAAAGAAAGAAAGAAAGAAAGAAAGAAAGAAAGAAAGAAAGAAAGAAAGAAAGAAAGAAAGAAAGAAAAGGAAGGAAAGAAGGAAAAGGGAAAAGGAAAGGGAAGGGAAGGAGAGAAGAAAGGAAGGAGAGAAGGAAGGAAGGAAGGAAGGAGGAAATGAAGGGAAGGGAGGAAGAGGGAGGAAGAAAGAAAGAGGGAGGGAGAAAGAGAGAAGGAAGAAAGGAAGGCAGGAAGGGAAGGGAGGAAGAGAGGGAGGATAAAAGAGAGAAGAAAAGAAAGAGAGAGGGAAAGAAAGAAAGAGAAAGGAGAGAGAGAGATTGGGATATTTGGGTTCTTTGCCTTCACTAAAACCTCCAGAGAAGATTCAGTCCTTTCCCTTGGCCTCTTCCACCATACTTTGGTGGATGCCATATTGGATTTGTAGTCAGAAAGACCTGAGTTCAAATCTGTCCTCAGCCCCTTACTAGCTATGTAACCATGGGCAAATGACTTAACCTCTTTCAGCCTCAGTTTCCCCCTCTATAAGATGGGTTTAATAATAGCACCACCTCCTTTGCAGGGTTGTCATGAGGATCAAATGATTTGACATTTGTGAAGTGCTTTGTAAGGCCTGGGTGTGGTTTGTTACGGCTTGACGAGAAGAATGGAAAGAGAGGGGAAGAAGCATACACTTGGGGGAGAGGGAAGGAAAAGAAAGATTAGGGAAAATGATCTCATAATTATGGTGCACTGGTAGATACCTACACATACAAAGAGGAAGGAGTGGGAGGAGCAGCCCACATAGCCTTCCTCTCAGCTTAACTGGTTACAGGAAGAACACACACACACACAAATATACACACACACACACATACACATACATATACATAAACACACTCATATACACATGCACACACATACACATACACACTCACACACAGTCACACACACACACACATATATACACACTCACATACACACACATATACACACAAACACACAATCACACATACACATATACACACACATTCACACACATACACACACACCACACACACAGGGCTGGGTAATACATTTCATTCAGAAACATTTCATTCCACAGAAAAATAAGAGGGAACGGGAAAAGGTGGGGAGGGAAATCAGAGGGAGGGCAGAGTAAGGGAGGGATTAGTCCTAGGCAAAACAAATTAAGAATGTACAAAATATATTTATAGCTCTTTTGAGGAAGCAAAGAATGGGAATTTAAGAGAGTGCCCATCAGCTGGGAAATGGCTAAAGAAGTTATGGTTTATAAATAGGATGGAAGAGTATTATGCCGTTAAAGAATAATGAAGGGGAGGGTTTCAGAGAAACCTAGGAAGACTTGTATAAATGGATGCAGGGTGAAATGAGCCGAACCAGGAGCACAGCTTGGACAACGGCAATATTGTAAAGGCAAACAACTCTGAAAGACATAGGAAGACTTAGGATCAATATAATAAACCACCACAATTCCAGAGAACTAATAGCAAAACATGCTACTTAACCTCCTGATAGACTCAGAATGCACAATGTGATGTTTTTTCCAGACATGCCCAATATGGAAATTTGTTTGGATTGACTATACATGTTTGTAATCATAATGGGGTTTGTTTTTCTTTAGTTCTCAAGCGGGGCAGTGGGGCAGGGATTGGGTAGAAAAGTGAAAAGGCAGATTTTTGCTGATTGAAAAAAAATTACAATAAAGTGCCTTGTAAATCTTAAAGTACTATGTAACTGTAAGCTATTATTATGATATTTGTCTTTTTTGTAGAAAATAAAATTTTGTAATAATCTCACCCCTCCTTTTCAGCATCCAGGGAGTCCCCAAGGTTAAGCCCAAGATAGTAGCATGATGAAAGGAGGACAGGATTTGTAGTCATAGAGCCTAGGTCTTTTTCTGGACCTCAGTTTCTATATCTGTAAAATGATAGGATCAGTCAAAGTGCCTTACAGCTCTAAATCTGATGATTTCCAGAGTTCTCTTCTCCCGCTTTCTCTCTCCTCTGTCTTTTCAGGGGCAGCCCCCAGTGGGCAGCCCCTTCTTCAGCTGCGGCCCTCTTCCCCCAGGATACTCTAGAGAAGTGTGGCCGGTGCCAGACTGTGGTCCTAGATCATGTCATCCGAGCTCTGGGCCAGACCTTTCACCCAGACTGCTTCACCTGCGTGGTGTGCTCCAGGCGCATTGGGGATGAGAGCTTTGCCTTGGATGAGCAGAATGAAGTCTACTGTTTGGATGACTTCTACAGGTACAGTTCCATTGGGGGCTGGGATGGTGGGAGGAGGCCCACTAAAATGAGAAAAAATGGAAGGAATCAGAAGAGAAGCTGGGGTGGGGAGCATGGGGAGGCAGGGAGGGAGAAGGTGTGGTCACTGGCTTCAAGTATTTGAAGGATTGTCATTCCACTGGTCTCCCAGGACAAAACAAAGAACATGGAAAGGAAGTGATACAAACACTCAAATGAATTCATGAGCTCACTGATTTAGAAGTTCCCTCCCGGGGCAGAGATCCCAGCCTAGCCACAGCTGCCCAACCGGGATGACTCTTGCCCATGTCTTCCCATAAGTTTCCCAGAGGGGCCCCTCCCAATGTTCTGAGGAGTCTTCTTTGATTTTGCTGGATACCAGTAGAGCCCTAGGGCTATCTCTGTTATCCCTTGATCTCACCATGTGAGATCTTTTTTTCTTAAATTAAAAAAAAAATTTTATTATGAATATATTTTTATTCATTATTATTTTTAAAGATTGGGCCTCCCTATCTCACCCAGCACCTCCCTGCCCATTCCCACTGTTGATTAGCACAGGAGCATTGGCCTGTGTGTTTCTGACAACGTTCAATTTCCTTCTGCTGTACTTTTCATTTACATCATTGTAATCATCATGTTCATTTCCCCCCCTGGTTCTGCTGACTTCATTTTGCATCAGCCTCCCCAAGCTCCTCTGTATTCCTCATATGCATGGTAGTTTGTTTTTTTTTTTAACATAGTAATAATATTTCTTTCCATTCTTGTACCACAACTTGATAAGCAATCTCCTAATCAGTGGGCACCCTCTCTAACTAGGATGGGGTTCTAACCAGAAATCGGATGGAATGGGGCTTAGTCAAGAGCTTACCTTTCTCATCTTCACCACCTTTCCCTCAGTGCTGCCCCAGGTTGGATACTCTCTTGGTCCCCCAGCCTAGCGTTTGTAACTTCCTTAAGGGGATTCTGGAGATACATATGGTTTGACTTGGGCTGAAGCAGCCTGTTGTTACCTAAGTCACAGGACCATCATCACAAAGAACTGAGACCCAGGGAACTTAGACAGCTTGCCCAGGTTGTGAACAGCTGAACCAAGATTCTAACCTAGATCATCCGGCCCCAGATCTACTGATATTTCTACTGATTCTGAGTCTGAATGGCAAGGACAGGACCTTAGAGATCACCTAGTCCAACCTTTTCATTTTACAGAATAATAAACTGAGGCCCAGCAATTTCCCCAACAGTGCATAACTAAGTATAGGAGGGAAAATCAAGAGGTTGGGGAAGGGGGAGGGTTGCTCAAGGGAACCAGCAAAAATTATTTGGGACCAGAGGTGACCAACAGAGTTAGGACATGGAAAAATCTGGCTTTTAACTATTGGGAAGTTAGCTGAATCAGGATCAGAGCTGGGAAATTCAGGGCTCCTCCATTCTACCAGTCAATAGTCAAATCAGTCAATCAACATTGATTAAGCACCTACTGTGAGCCAGGCACTGTGCCAAGTGCTATTAATTAATTAGTTAATTAACTACACTGGGTGGTGCCATAGTGCATAGAGTACTGGGCTTAGAAGCAAGAAGACTCCTCTTCATAAGTTAAAATCTGGCTTCAGACACTTACTAGCTCTGTGACCCTGGGCAAGTCTGTTTGCCTCAGTCTCTTCCTCCTTAAAATGAGCTGGAGAAGGAAATGGCAAACCACTGCAGTATCTTTGCCAAGAAAACCCCAAACGGGGTCATAAAGAGTCAGAGACAACTGAAAAACAACTGAATAACTGAACATAGCAGATACTGTGTAATAACCAGGTTAATAAAGAAAGGCAAAAATGGCCCCTGGCCTCAAGGGGCTCACATTCATATAAGAGAGACAACATGAAAATAACTAGGTCGGTCCTAGGGATATATGGAGTAGATGGCTGGTAATCTCATAGGGGAAGCTACTAGCAGCTGGGGACACTGAGAATAGCCTTCTGAAGAAAGTGGCTTTTGAGCTGAGTCTTAAAGGAAGCCAGAGATTCTCAGAGTCAGAGATGAGAATGGAGAAGATGGATGGAGTGTCATGTGATTAAGGAGGCCAGGGCAACGGGATTGGAGAGTACCTGGAAGAAAGAAAGGTGCAAGAAGACTAGAGAGATAGGAGGGGGCCAGGTTATGATGAGCTTTAAATGCCAAACAGTATTTTATATTTGATCCTGGAGATAATAGAACCACTAGAGTTTATTGGGAGTTGGGGAAATGTGGTCATACAATGCCTTATGAAAATCACTTTGGCAGATAAATGGAGGATGAGTTGGAGTGGAGAGAGACTCAAGGCAGGCAGACCCCCCCAACAGCTATTGCAGTGGTCCAGGTGTGAGATGATGAGGGCCTATGCCAAAGTGTTGGCCGTGTCAGAGGAAAGAAGGAGGGGGTGTATATAGGAGATGTTTGTTGGAAAAGTAGATGTGATGAGATTTGACAGTATGGGATGAGTACAAGGAAAGAGATAAGATGACAGCAGAGTTGTAAGCCTAGGTGACTCAGAGCCCTTGAAAGTAATAGGGAATCATGGAAAGGGTTTGGGAAAAAGGTAATGAGTTCCATTTGGGACATGTTGGGGACATCAAGATGTCCAAGAAGTCATTGGTGGTACAGAATTGGAGCTCTGGATGGATGCTAGGGCTAGATACATAGATTGTTGTGTTAGGGGTTACGAAGTGAGAGGGATTGGAAGAGAAGAAAAGAGGGCCCAGAGTAGGACTTTGGGGGACACCCATGGTTAGGAGGGATGCTATGGCTATAGAGCCAGCAAAAGCCTGAGAAGGACCTTCCTTAGTTCACCTGATTACAATGCATTGTTTTTACTTTAGTGGAGAGGGAATAAGGCATGGTGACCCTTAGCACAGTACCTGGCACATAGTAGGTGCTTAATAAATATTTCTTGATCATTGATTGAGATAAGTTTTGGTAGAAAGAGATACCTCTGTAGGAAACGTCTAGACAGTGGTATCAAACTGAAATAGAAACTCATTCCTTCAGGCTGCATAGTGATTTAGAAAACCACAAATTAACATCATCTATTCCTGTGTATTTTTATTTTGTTAAACATTTCCCAATTGCATTTTAATCTAGTCCTGGTCTTGTTGGGGAATTTTGTGGGCCTTTTGCAGCCTGCCACCCACCAGTTTGATTCTTCTGGTCTCCAGCATGGAACACTACCCAGGCCCTCAGTTTTCTCATCTGTAATATGAGAAGGTTGGGCCAGATCAGAGGTTCCTAGGCTTTTTGTGTGTCCTGGGCACCGTTAGCAGTCTGGTGAAGCTTGTGGACCCTTTCTCAGAGTTGTGTTTTTAAACATATAAAATAAAATATGTAACATTACAAAGGAAACCACACATAATGGAAAATGGTTACCAAAATATATAAAAAAACAAATTTATGAAGCCCAGGTGAAGAGCCCAGGGACTAAATGATTTCTAAGGTTCCTAAGGACCATGAGGCTCATCTTTCTGATTTGCAATTGAAACTTCTTTTATGTATCTCCCCCTATTAGAATGTGATCTCCTTGAGACCAAAAACTGTCTTTTTAATTTGTACCCTCAGTACTTTGCATACAGTAGGCACTTAATAAATGCTCATTCATTCACTCATTCTCAAGTCTAATGATCCCAAGTCCCCAGGGTCCCAGTAGTTCACCTTTCCTCTCAGGGAGGCCTGAGGGTCTGAGGGTTCAGAGGTCTTTGGTTCTGAGGTCACTGGGCTCCACAGTCAGGAAGCCAGGTCCCTTCCAGCTCTAAAATGTGATTTTCCTTTCAGAGTACTAAAAGGTTGGTGCCCTAATAGGAGGCAGGGAGAAGAACTGAACAGGGCTGAGGTTGAGAACAGTGTTGATGGCTATTAATTAGCCACATGACTGTATTCAAATCACTTTTCTTCTCTGAGCCTCAGTTTTCTCCTCTGTAAAATGGGGATAGTATTTGTACTGACTTGTGTTTGGAAAAATCATGTAATACTTTTAATGATGCCCCAAACTTCTTTATGAAAGAGAGGTCCACTGGGGCAGCTAAGTGGCGCAGTGGATAGAGCACCAGCCCTGGATTCAGAAGGACCTGAGTTCAAATCCGACCTCAGACATATAACACTAGCTGTGTGACCCTGGGCAAGTCACTTAACCCCATTGCCTAACCAAAAAAAAAAGAAAGAAAGAAAGAGAGGTCCACCACTCCCCTCCTGGTGATACGCTATAGCCACAAGTCATGGAATACCACAATCTGAAGAATTGTGGGTTGCTCAAAAAAGTAATGGAGAGGTGAAGGGTGGCCATGTGTGGGTTGTATCACATTACCAACAAAGATCTGTCCAGAAGAAATGCTGTGAAGGATGATGGATCTAGAACATATCTCAGCGGCCATCTTGTCCAAACCTTTATTTTACAAATAAGAAAACTGAGGCCCGAGGAGGCTACAGTATGATTTACCCAAAGTCATACAGATAATAAGGATCAGAGGTATGGTTCAAACCCAGGTCTTCTGATTCCAAAGCCAGCATTCTTTCTACTGTCCTTTGCTGTCCTGCAATAGAATCAGCTAGGTACATGACTAGAAGAGGTAGGCCAGGTGTGTAGGGGATGGGATGGATGACCAGTGGGATATCTGCATTCTGAGCCAGTACTGACACCATGTCAGGAGATTCAGAGGAAGGCCCCTCCTTATTCCACCCACACTGTTCTCTCCAAAGTTACCAGTGATCTCTGCATTGTCAGCTCCAATGGCCTTTTCTCCATTCTCGTTCTCCTTGACCTCTCTGCAGCCTTTGACACTGTGGATCCCCCTCTCTTCCTTGATACTCTCTTCTCTCTAGCTTTTCAGGCTACCTCTCTCTCCTGGTTCTCCTCCTGCTTATTTTACTGTTCCTTCTCAGTCTCCTTTGCAGGATCTTCTTCCAGACCACACTCTCTAGTCACAGGTGTCCCTCAGGGTCCCGTCCTAGACCCTGTTCTCTTCTCTCTCTATTATCCTTCGTTTAGAGAAGCTTTGTGCTTGAGCTGCGGTAGAGCATTCCAAGCTCATAGTGGTCTGATCAGCCACCGTCAGCTACATTGTAACTTGACTCTAACATGGTGATGCCATTTTAGTCCTCTTGAGAATGCAGGACAACAACCACCCAACCAACTTTACTTGGCTATCTCATCAGCTCCCATGGATTTAATGACCAGCTCTATGTTGATGACGCTCAAATCTACCTGTCCTGCCCCAATCTCTCTGCTGCCCTCCAGTCTGGCATCTCCAACTGCCTTTCAGACATCTCAGCCTGGATGTCCAGGAGACATCTTAAACTCACTATGTCCAAAACTGGACTTACTATCTTTCTCCCTTAACTATCCCACACTCCTACCTTCCCTATTACTATAGAGGGCATCGCCACCCTCCTAGCCCCTCAGACTTATGACCTAGGAGTCATCCTATATTTTTCCCTCTTTCACCCTCTCCCCCTGCCCCCAACCATATCCAATTTGCTGTCAAGGCCTGTTGATTTCACCTTTGTGACATCCCTCAAATATGCCCCTCTCTTTCCTCTGACACTGTTACCTCTCTGGGGCAGGTCCTGATCATCTTACCCCTGGATTAATGCAACAGCTGCTGGTGGTTCTGTCTGCCTCAAGTCTCTCCCCTTTCCTCCCTTACACCCATCAGATCTGATAATATGAAAGGAAAACGATAAATGTTGGAGGGGATGTGGGAAAATTGGACACTAATGCATTGTTGGTTGAGTTGTGAACTGATCCAACCGTTCTGGAGAGCACAGAACTATGGAGATATGGAACTATGGAATTATGCACAAAAGGCTATAAAACTGTGCATACCCTTTGACCCACCAATACCATTATTAGGTCTATATCCCAAAGAGACTTTATTATTATTATTATTAATTTTTTTTTAATTTTTAGTCAATTGGGGTTAAGTGACTTGCCCAGGGTCACACAGCTAGTAAGTATCAAGTGTTTGGTCTAAGCTCAGATTTGAACTCAGGTCCTCCTGACTTCAGGGCTGTCTCTATCCACTGTGCCACCTAGCTGCCCTCCCAAAAAGACTTTTTTAAAAGGGAAAAAGATCTATTTGTACAAAAATATTTATAGCAGCTCTTTTTTGTGGCAGCAAAGAATTGGAAATTGAGGGGATGCCAATTAATTGGGGAATAGCTGGACAAGTTGTGGTATATGATTGTGATGGAATGCTATTGTGCTATAAGAAATGATGAGCAGTATAGTTTCAGAAAAAACCTAGAATGACTTACATGAACTGATACAAAGTGAAATTAACAGAACCAAGAGATCATTGTACACAGTATTAAATAAAGTGAAAAATAAAAGAAAGTGAAGAAGACACAGTTTAGAGTCTGAATGCAGATCGAAGCATACTATTTTTCACTTTATTTTTCTGTGGGGTTTTTTTTTGGTTTGTATTTTCTTTCATAACATGACTAATATGGAAATATGTTTTGCATGATTGTACACGTATAATCTATATCAAATTTCTTGCCCTCTCAGGGAGGGAGAGAATTTGGAACTCAAATTCTTTTACAAATGTTAAAAATTGTTTTTCCATGTAATTGGGGGGAGGGAAATAAAATATTGAAAAGAAAAAAGTCTCTCCCTACTCCAGTCCATCCTCCATTCAGACACTAAAGGGATTTTCCTGAAATGTAGGTTCAATCATGTTACCCCCTACTCAGTAAACTCCAGTGGCTGCCTATCACCTCCAGGAGCAAATACAAAATGCTATTTGGCATTCAAACCCCTTCTAACCCAGCCTCCTCCTACCTTCTAGTCTCTTACTTACTCCCCAATAAGTACTCTTACATCCAGTGACACTGGCTTCCTGGCTGTTCCACAAAGACACTCCATCTCTTAGCTCTGGGTATTTTCTCTGGTTTTCCCCCATGCCTGGAATGCTCTCCCTTCTCCGCCCTGACTACTGACCACCCTAACTTCCTTTTTGAAAATAAATGCATTATTTATTTATTTTAACATTCATTTTAATAAGATTTTGAGTTCCAAATTTTCTCCCTTCAGTCATCCCCCACCCTTGAGAAGGCTAGCTATGTATCAATTACACATGTGAAATCATGCAAAACATATTTCCATATTAGCCATGTTGCAAAAAAAGGAGAGGGGGAGAAAAATAAAGACAGTGAAAAGACTATGCTTCAATCTGTACTCAGAGTTCATCAGTTCTCTCTCTGGAAGTGGGTAGGATTTTTCATCATGAGTACTTTTGGAATTTTTTTGTATCATTGCATTGATCAGAATAGCAAAGGCTTTCACAGTTCATCATTGTTACAGTATTGCTGTCACTATGTACAATGTTCTTCTGCCCACTTCTCTTTGTATCAGTTCATATAAGCTTGACTTCTTTCAAATCCCAACTAAAAGCCCGTCTTCTATTGAAAGTCATTCCCAATCTCTTTATTCTAGTGGGGCAGCTGAGGTGGCCAAGTGGATAGAACACTGGGCCTGGAGTCAGGAAGACTCATCTTCCTGAGTTCAAATCCAGCCTCGGACACTTACTAGCTGTGTGATCCTGGTCAACTCATTTCACCCTATTTGCCTCAGTTTCCTCATCTGTAAAATGAGCTGGAGAAAGAAATGGCAAACCACTCCAGGAAATCCCAAAGAAAATCCCAAATGTGGTCATGAAGAATCCAACAAGACTGAACAACAAAAATTCTACTGCTCTCCCTCTCTTAATTATTTCCTATTTAACCTGCATATATTTTATTCATATATATTTATTTGTTGTCTCCCCACTTAGATTGTGAGCTCCTTGAGAGCAGAGACTGGTTTTTGCCTCTTTTTGTATCCTTAGAGCTTAGCATAGTGCCTGGCATGTAGCAGACATTTAACAAGTACATACTGACTGACTACAGACTAAGGAAACCAAGGCTCATTAGGGGGAAGGAATTCGCCTATGGGCACAAAGGACATCCCTTTGTCTAATGGAGAACAACATTTTCTGGCCTTTGAAATATATGTAGTTTAAAAGGTCCCATTTAACATTTTCCCTTATTGATTTTGTAGCCCTGTTTTTAAGTGGGATGGGGGAGGGCATGTTGTGGTGTTGACAGGATGAAGGGAGCTAGCAATACTGATGCCATTAAAAGAAGGCCATTGAATCAGACCACTAGGGGGCACAGTGGATTGAGCACCGGACCTGGTGTCAGAAAGACCAGAGTTCAAATTTGACCTGGGATGCTTACTATCTGTTTGACTTACTCTGCAGGAGTTGGCTCACCTGTTAAATGGAGCTCATAATAGCACCTCCTGAGTGTGTTGGTTTTTTGGTAAAGCGCTTTGTAAACCTTAAAGCAAAATATGAATGCTGTCTATTAAAACTACACAGAAGGAAGTAAAAATAAGTCAGACAGTTTTAAAAGTAATATATGGAATTTATCATTTTCTTTTTTCCCCCCTCTAAAGTAAGCAGTATAGAATAGAAATTCAGTTTCATATACAATCCTCTTTATGGTCTATTTTTAAAAAAATGAAAATGGTTGTCTTGGGGGGTTAAAATCGGAATTTTAAAAAATGAAAATTTTTTTATTATTCATTTACCAAAATATTAATGCTTATAAAAGGGGGAATTGACCCTTGTGGCCCCTCTGGTTTGTATTATGCCCAGGCAGCTGCCCACATGGCCTACTCCTGATTTTCTTTGTCCCAACTTCATTGTGACTTTAGAATACATAATATTTCTCCTCTGCTTCCTTCAAGGCAAATGGCCCTCCAGCCATTTCCTCATCCCCAGGAAATGATACCCCTAGAAGCTGCAGCTGATTACATAGGTCTCTCCCCTCATCGGCTCCAGGGAGGGAAAACAGAGATATCAGTGGTCAGAGTTCCACGAGCATCCCCAGTGACAACCACATGCAAGGCAGAGTGTAATCAGTCTATGAATTCCAAACGCTAATTGCGGTGATTGCCTATTTCCTTTCCTTTCTTCCACCAGGAAATTTGCCCCAGTATGCAGCATTTGTGAGAACCCAATCATCCCCAGAGATGGGAAGGATGCATTCAAAATCGAATGCATGGGACGGAATTTCCATGAAAATTGCTACAGGTGTGAGGTAGGTGTGAGAGCTCTGAAACCGCTGGGTATGAAAATAAGGTTGCCCATTCCTCCATTCATTATTCATTAAGTGCTCCTGGCAGGTACCCAGGAAAGGCAGGAAGTTGGGGTTATTTGGTGGTCTCTGCCTTAGAATTGCACATTTAGACAGGAAGGGACTTTAGCAGTCCAAAGCTGCTCCATTTACATAGGAAGGAACTCGAGTTTCCAGAGAGGGAAATTTGACTACCTGTTGTCCAGGAAATAAATGGCAGAATCAGGATTTGAACCCAGGAGACTACAAAGTTATCATTCTTTCTACTCTATCACATGTGTTCTCTTCCTTGGACTGCCAATCTAGTAAGGAGATATGATACAAGAAGAGGTCATTATAATTTCTATTCAAGAGCCATTTCTTAAGTAGCTACTCTGTGTGAGGCATTATGTGCTCTCACTAGCTAAATATTTTCATCTATATGTGTGTACATATGTATATATGTGTATGTGTTTGTACACACATGTGTGTATATTGTATATATACATGCACATATATGTGTTTTTGTGTGTGTATATATATATGTATATATGTGTGTGTGTGTATATATATATATATATATATATATATATATATATATATATATGTAGGTGTGTATGTGGGCACATACACATATATAGTGGAGGAGTGGATAAAGCACTGGGCTTGGAACCAGAAAGACTCATTTTCATGACTTCAGAAGTTCAAATCTGGCCTCAGATTGTTATTAGCTGTATGGCACTTGGCAAGTCATTTAACCCTGTTTGGCCTCAGTTTCATCATCTGTAAAATGAGGTAGAAAAGGAAACGGCAAACCACTCCAGTATGTTTGTCAATAAAACCCCAAAATAGGGTCACAGAAAGTCAGATAGGACTGAAAAACAACTTAACAACAACATTTATATAATATATGTGCATATATGCAAACTACATATATATTATATACACACAATATTACATATAGGTAATTAGAATGTGGTTTTTTTTAATGCCATGTGAGGGCCTGGGGGCAACATTGTTATAGGGGAGAAGGATTAGAGAAGGCTTCCTGGAGGAAGTGGGCTTTGACTTGGCCATTAAAGGATGGGTAGCAATTCAGCAGGCCAAGAGGGAAAAGGAGAGTGTGGCTGGCATAGAAAACAGCAGGAGCAAAGGCTTGAGGCATGTGGGGGAGGGCTAGAAGTATTACAGTCTACTTGAGCAAGAACACCTTCCCAGTAAGAATGTAAAGGTCCTTGTGGACAACAATTATTTTGATTTTTGTCTTTGTGTACCAAGTAACTAGAGCTAATGGACATGGAATCAATGTTTATTGAACGTAAGGTTTTAGTGGGCTCTCCAGCAGCGGGCGTCCATGGCATCACATCCTCCTCTGCTCCAGTTGGAACTAAGAGCATGCCCTTGTGAAATGGTGAACCCCAACTAGTTGCGCATGCTGTCTCGAGAGGCTAATATTAGGTCACACTCTGGGCTGGGACAGTCATGGATAGGTAGGTAACATTCTTGAGTTTTGGATTCTCTCTCCTCTAGCAGGGACAGATCAACACTGTTACTTAGGACCTCTCTGACCAGTCGCCTGTATTTGCAAGGATGCTGGCTGGGGCTGGGTTGGGGAGAACCAGTCTGTGTGGTTGAGGAGTTTCACTCTTTTTCAAAGATAACACCATCATGGTCATTCTGTAGCCCTGAGTTTGCTCCTCAGAGTAGTCTGTGAAGTAACTGTGAAGGAGAAAAGCAGAAGGAAGGGCTTCCTAAAAACTAAGTCTGAAAGTAAAATGTACTGCCTTGCAACATAATGAAATTCCTATTACTAGGGGCCAGATGTTTTAGATCAGGAAGGTACCTCAGAGCCCATTTAGCTGACATCCCTCATTTTGCAAATAAGGAAAAGAGCGATTTGTCCCAGAAGCCAAGCTCAGAGTTGTAACTTGGGCAGAGCGATAGGAGCTTTGCCCATAGTTGAAGAAATTTAGACCCTGGGGTCTAAAGTTGATTTGAGTATACACTGTGCTTGCCCCCAGGAGCCAGAATGGCTAGTTTTATGCCTTTGGTAGAGCTGGGTTTTAAACTCTGGTGTTCCAACTACAAATTCTGTGTCCTTTCTACTGCACCACAATGAAGTCTAGATGGACTTACTTGGACAATTTTAGAATTGATTTGTGTGAAAAATGGTGTGTAACTTGCGAGGGCAGAATTAGAACCAGTGGGATTTACATTTCTGTGAATGTTGAAAGAGATGGCTTTCGAGGTGCCTTTGAATGCCAAGATTCTATAATCCTTGCCATGATAAACAGGTTATAAATTCAATAGAATGTAAGCTTCTGGAGAGCAAGGGATGGTTGCAGTTTTTGTCTTTATGTCTTCAGGGACCAGCACAGTGACTGGCATATAAAAGGCGCTTAATAAAATGCTTGTTGGATTGAATTGAGTCGTGATTCAAAGTAGTATTGTATCCTTGTTAAAGACCCAAAATGATATTACGCTATGTGAACACAAGAGGGTGCTCCAACCAACCAGGAATAGGACACTTAGAAAAGTTCCTTGCTATAATGGTGATTCCCATTTCTAAAGCACTTGAGAGTTTGCCTCACGATGATATGAAGGTAGTACAAAAGACAGGGCAATGGATTTGGAGTCTGAGGACCTGGCTGGGTACCTCCGTCACTCGCTACCTATGTGGTATTATGGTGGTGTGCTGGTAAATGTTTTTTGTCACCCGGCTAAGGTGCAATCTCCATTATTAACATTTTCCCCAGTTGCTTTCTTAATATACAGTCAACAGAACAACAAATGGAGCCTTGATTTTGAGCATGTTCACACTGAAAGTTTAACAATCATCTCTAGGAAAACCTGTAGGAGCCAACCTCCAGCATATTACCCAAGTGACTCAGTTTTTATGGTCTTTAATTTCCTTCTCTGTAAAATCATGGGGTTGGATTAGATGGCCTCTAATGTCCTGACCAGCTTTAAATCCTATGAATAAATTTTCCCCAGCTTCAACAACTCATGGAGACCACTAAATCTGTGTGTGATCTTGGGCAAGGCTTTTGGGGATCTAGTTTATTCTTCAGTAAAATAAGGGGTTAAACCAGAGGACTCTAAGGTCCCTTCTATCTCTACAAGAATGATTCCATAAGGCTGATGGTGTGAGTCTTAAAATCTCCATTTTACAGATGTGGAAACAGGCTCAGAAAGCCATGGTGACTTATGCACAAATCTGGCTTATCTGCTAGCTGATGAAAGCTACGTGTTCAACCAGGAAATACTAGGAATCATGGCTTAGAGTTATTGTTTTGTTATTTTCTATACTTAAGAAAGTGATATGGAAAATGTTAATAACTCAGATTAAACTTAAAAGTGTTTCCTAGGCATGGTTTTTTTTTTCAGAGAACCGGTTATTAAACATTTACCAGCATACCACTGGTTGAATATATATTAATTTGGGAGTGAGGGAAGAAGGTTTATAGAATGGACCTTGGAGATCATCGTTGTTTAATCTCCTCATTTTACTGAAGGGGAAACTGGGGCCCAGAAAAGTTAAATAATTTGCCAAAGGTCTCATAGCTAATAAACATCAGTGACAAATAGGAAATGGGGAGGGGTGCTTGAAAAACCACTGATTCTGGAGACTTGGGTTCAAATCCTGCTTCTCATACTCACTAGCTGAGCAAGTCAACTAGTCAACAAGTCAGTCTTTCAGTTTTAATGTCCTTGCCTGCAAAGTGAGGGTAATAATATCCTGTACATCAAATCCAACTGTTGGGAAGAAAGCACTCTATAAACCTTAATGCCTTGCAGGAAGGTGAGCTGTTATCATCTAGTAAGTGTAAGCTTCTTGAGGGCAGCCCCTGTCTTTTTCATGTGTATATTTCCCCAGCATCTAGCCCAGAACCTCGCATGGAGTTGGTAAGTACGCTGATGCTTTGTAGAGTTGTTATTGGAAGGCTTTCCCAAGTTTGGCTGGTACCTGAGGTGAAATCCTTCTCTTTTTCAGGATTGCAGGATTCCACTGTCTGTTGAGCCCACAGACCAAGGCTGCTACCCACTAATGATCGTCTCTTCTGTAAACCATGCCATGTCAAGCGCAGTGCGGCAGGATGTTGTTGAAGGTGCTAAGTGGGCACCTGGCCCCGGTCTCAGAGAAATGAGCATTTGTGATGGCTCCTGCCCTGGGGGCCTTCCTATGCCTTTGATAAACTCAGTTTCCCTTTTCACCTACTGTTGCAGAAGCTATGCTAAGCCACTGGGAGATGCCCGCCTGCAGCAATACCAGAGATATCTGAAGAGAGTGATGGGAATTCCCCTCCACTCTTCAACTTATGTCTCCAGCTTGAGAAAAAGCAGCATGGGATCAGTGAATCATCAATAAAAATGTGTTAAGTGCCTGCTATGCCAGGCACTGTGCTAAGCACTGAGGATACAAAAAGAGGCAAAAGGCAGGTCCTGCCCTTAATGACTCACAATCTAATTAGAAGAATCCTGGATTTGGAGATCAGGGACCTGGGTTCAAACTCCAGATCTGCCACTTAGCTATGTGACTATGGACAAATCCCTTCATCTCTCTGGCCCTTAGCTTCCACATCTGTCAAATGATGGGTTTGGACAAGATTCTATCTAAAGTCCCTCCTGGGTCTAAAAAGAAAGACCCTCCGTCTTCCTACATGCTGCTCAAGGCATGAAGAGGACCATGTATTCACATCCCCTGCAGATTTTTGTTCTATGCCTCCCTTCTCTCCCTCCCACTCTGGAGTGAGGGATAGTGTCTCCATGACAGCTTGGTTGCCCCAATCAATTATGGAAGGAAGGAAGAGAGGAAGGGAGAGAGAGAGGGAGAGAGGAAGGAAGGAAAGAAGGGAGGGAGGGAAAGAGAAAGGAAAGAAAGAAGAGAGGGAGGAAGGGAGGGAGGGAAAAAGAAAGGAAGGAAGGAGGGAGAAGGAAAGAGGAAGGGACAGAGGGAGGGAAGGAAGGAAGGAAGGAAAAGAAAATTTATTAGGGGCACAGAGGGAAAAGTCTAGGAGTCAGGAGACTTGGGTTGAGTTTTGCTTTTGCTGTTTAACTTGCTGTGTTACCTTGGACGAGCCTTTGGCTTGTCTAGTGCCCACTTTCTTCGTGTACAAAATAAGAATGTTGACTAGAAGCAATAGCCTATGATCTCATGACAGAAAGCCCCTGGCTTTTTGTGCTGTCATGGCTGGGTAGCCTGAGCAATATCATGCTTTCCTCTGGGGAAGCCCCCTCGTTCTGGCCAGATACCACAGGACAGAAAAGGGAAACTTGCTGGTGGGGAGGAGCCAGAAGACCTTGAGCTCTTCACAGGTAACTGCAGGTGGGCAAGTAACCCCTGAACATGAAGCCCCCAAAGCAGAGAGAGCCAACATTCCCCTGTTCCCCCCAACAAGCCAGCCCCTCGGGACAGGTGAGGGGGGCAGGTTGGCTGTCAAGGGTGTCCTAAGGGAAAGGCTGTGTGTAGGGTGCTGCCCATAATTCCCCTCCTGCTTCCTCCAGGCTTATGGATCTTTTTCTCAACCCCTTCCATTCCTAACACTCCTCTGAGAGATTCCTGAGGGACTCAGACTATCTAAGCTTTAGCCTAACCCTTAGACCTTATGCTGATTCTTTCGTTAGAGGTTAGGTGGATGGATGACTTTTCTCACTCCTCCACCATGGTCCCTGGAAAGTCATTATTGGAAAACTTCATCATCTGGTAAGATCCCTTTAGCCTTGGGCCTCCACCTCATCACAACCCTTCCCTCCCATTAGAGGGTAGGGCAATGAGCTCCAAACCCTCCACCACACCTCACCCTACTCCTTACCCTTTTCCAGCTTCCTTTTGTATATTATCTTTCCCTAGAGACTGTAAGCTCCATGAGGACAGGGATGGTATTTTTGTCTTTCTTTATATCCCCAAGAATTTAGCACAATGCTTGGTATATAGTAGACCTTAATAAATGTTTATTGACCAACTGACTGATAGGGGGGCAGGGTTGTGGTGAGCTTTGCCATGAGTCCCTAGCATTGACACTCTAAATGCCCTAGACTATGGGCAAAGCTTGTTTAGGGCCTAGAAATACTAGTTGGAGAGTCAGAGGCATCTAAGGAAATGAAAATAATAATAATAAGCCTCAAAATACCTATGGATTACTTCAGTGTAATTCAGAATTAATTACATTTAATTCAGAATAATTAAATTCAGTTCACCAATATTTATTACCTGTGTGACCTTGGGCACACTCCTCTCCCTAGGCCTCCCTTTCCCCTGTAGAATTAGGGAGTTGGGTTTGATGGCCTCAGAGGCCCCTTCCAGGTCAAAATCTAGAATCCTCTGTGCCAGGCATTGTGACAGGCAAAAAATGAGACATAGTTCCTGCTCTCAGGGAACTTACTTTCCTTTCCTGCCTTCTCATATGTCCCCTCTGTCTTTGTCTTTCCATCAGTCCTCCACAATGGGTCTATCCAATTCACTGAAGGCCTTCCTTTCACTCTCTGCTCACTTCTTGGATTCCAGGGCCATGTTGGGAGCTGTCCATCTGTCGTCCTTCAGCCTCATGGATGTGAACACTGTTTCCTGCCTCCAGGACTGGCTCAGTCCTTGCAGTATGAATGAGGCATCCTTGGGATTTCCTTCTGAGGGATTGTTTTTTCCCCCCTGACATAAGGAAGATGGTCTGTCCAAATCCTGGCAATGGCATGGTCTGACATGATATGGCCGTACCTACAGTGCTTTTCAAAGGAAGGATGGTGCAGTTGGGCTCTGGAATAAAACTTGGACAATTTGGACAGACCTGGGACACTTGTCTCCTGTACTGCTCAGCCTCCCAGCCCTGCCCCTTACTAGCCCTTTATTTGAGGTCTCTATATACTCATCTGTAAAATGACGTCATATTCCAAAGGGTGGTTGTGACATGTACTTAAAGTGCTATTCAAATGTCAGCAATTGTGATTATGATTGTGGTTATTATTATTGTTGTTGTTGTTACACTGAGACCTACGTGCCCAGTGAGTTTGCCACGTGCTAGAAAAATGGGGAACTCTGGTGCTGTTTCATGCCCAGGCCTTCTGCCAATTTTGTCTTCACTGGGACAGCAATGTGTAGCAGGGAGCCTGCTTACCACCTGAATAGAATTTAAAGGATCACATGGTACAGTGGAAAAAGCACCAGGTCTTAAGACAGAGGACCTGGGTTCAAATCCCGTCTCTGCTGATTAGTCAGTTAACGATGCTTATTAAGACTCTATGTGCCCAGCACAGTGCTGAGTGCTAGGGATAGAAAGAAAGGCAAAAAACATAGTCCCTGCCCTGAAGGAGCTTACATTCTTTGGAGGGGGGAGGGGAGAGGGGGGAAGGGCACACAACATTGCAAATAGCTATGTATTCGAAAAATATATACAGTGCAGATGTGAATGACAATTATGCAGCCTCAATTTACCAGTAAAATGAAGAGAATTGGGGTGAGGACCCTTGTAGCTCCAAATCTTTTCTGTGATGCTTGGGGTCCCCCCCCTCACTCACTCACTATTCTGGTTCCCACCTCTAAAGATTCATTCATTAGAACAAAATTGTAAGTGACTCCTGTCTCGTTTGCAGGGCCCTGTCCTGGGCACTGAGGGAGCTATCAAACCAATCCAGTAAGAGTGGAGGTAGGGTTAAGACGCAAACCCACATAGCTTTGCTCCCTAACTACACAATAAACCAATCAGAGAGGACCAGACCAAAGTGAGGTCCTAGGGACCACATGCGTTCCCAAAGAGGGGAAGGCTTTCTGGAGGAGGTGACCTCTGGATTAGGCTTTCAAGGGTGAGCAGGAACTGAAGAAGCAAAAAGCAAGGATGACTTTGGCCTTTGCTGAAAGTTGTCCAGCTTGGCCAGAGAGGAACAGGGCTGGAAGGAGGGAGGACCTTGAATGCCAGGGACAGGAGTTCAAATTTTATCCAGTCAAGGATAAGGAGACACTAAAGACTTGAGAAGCGCATTAAGAAAGCCCTCTGTAGTCCTTCTGATCTTGGAAGGCAGCCTGGTGGAAATGCCTTTGGCCTCACAGAGCAGGATTTTTTCATTTGCTTCCAGCTTGCTATTTGTGTCTCGGTAAGAATCCCCAGTGACCTTTCTGCCCCAGGAATCCCTGCCCCCGGCAGCGCCTTCCTCCCTCTCACAGAAAGTCACTGTTTCTAGGGGACTTCCAGCCGGTGCTGGTGTGGAATGAGTTCAGTGTGGGCTGGCTGGTTTTCATTTTGCTTTTGGTTTTAAATAAAGTGGACTTTCCCTTTTTGGAATGAGTTCCCCAGTATCACATGCTTTGGCCAGAGAACCCAGTAAAGATGACTTGAATTCTCTGTGCCTGTGAAGTGTCTCCTTTCAACCTTAAATTCTGGGTCTGGGGATTAACCCTCAGAAAGGGAGTTGGGACAGCTCTCTTCAAAGAAAACCCCCCCAAAAATGGTGAGTGTGTGTGTATTCTGGGGGTGGGTGGGTGGAGTTGGAGAGCTCAATTCAATTGGTTTTAAACCCAGCTGAAATCCCACCTTCTACTGGAAGCCTTTCTGATCTTCCTTAATGCGGGTGCCTCCCCTGGGTTATCTTTAATTGACTATGTAAGTATCTTGTTTGCATCTGGTCTCCCTCAGCAGAATGTGAGCTCCCTGAGGGCAAGGAGTGATTTTTTTTTTGTCTTACAATTCTTAACATTCCCAAATCCCCATTGTTTAGCCCCAGATCTGGCTAAATAAATCTGGAGCTAAATAAATGTTTATTGACTCAACTTTCTGAGAATGTTCCTGCCTAAACCCTTCAAACTTTCCTTTTTGAAGCTATTTCTGGCTGGGCCTTTTTGGTGGGGTCACCAGGGGTCCACCCAAAGTCTGGTCCTGAGCTTTATATTGGCCAGCTTCCCAGGGTGATTCAAAGGAAGGCACTTAGTAAACCTTCATGCCCTATAAAAACGTAAATTTTTATTATTACTGGTCCCCAAACTAGATTTTTATCAGTTTATCAAGGGGCACCAGGAATCTCATTTCTAACTGGCCCACCAATGTATTTGTTTACCACTGGAATACGGGAGTGTGGTGTGGCAGGGGCACTGAGTGTAAACTGGGGAAGAGGGGGGACGAGCTGGTTCTGATGGTGACTCTCTGTGTGGTCTGGAGCAAGTAATTTTATTTCTCCATTGGCTTCCTCCTGTGTAATATGGGGAAATGCTTATC